AAAAAAAAAAAAAAAAAAAGAAAGAAAGAAAAGAATGCTCGTCGATTTAGTTTCGTTCCGTGTGACACGAGCAAGGTTGCTGCATGTATAGAATGCGTGTATAGAAATATTTGACAGAGCAATTAGTTAAAATATGGCGTTTCGTGAAGATAATTATAATAATTATATATTTACACGCAATCGGGACCTTAAACTCACAGCGAGAGAAGTACGTAAAATTCACTTAGAACGTTGAGAATCCTTGAAAATGCGATTCCAAGCACCGAGGACTCGTAGAAATATTACTATATTATTATATCATAAGTTGCAGAGAGAACATTGTGCAAAATTCAATCACTACGAATACATCTCGTTACACTGAGAATAACACTTTCAATGACAAAGAACCGTTCACATCGGTTTTTAACTACGAAACGTACCAAACGTTTCTCTTTCAAATTCTCATTTTCTGTCTTATCTTAAGACACAATTCTTATCTTCAACAAGAAACAATTCGCACAAAACCTGTGGTTTACTGGCTCGATTATTCAACATTCACCGTGTATACACACTCGCCGCGAGGGCTCGAGTTTAACGGGAAATCGGCGCGAGTAGTTCCCTCACGGTCCCACAAATGACGAGGAAATCATATTATTCTAGATTACACGCGGAGAACACGGGCACGGACGACGAACAGCGGAATCGAAATCGCGATCACACCGGAAACACCGGAGCGCGGCACGATTCGCAATGTCCGCGCACTCGTCTCCGGTGCGCTCGTCCTCAAGGTATATTTCGCGATCCGATCCTCGCAGAACTAGGGAGTAGGTACAATGACGTCACGCGCTGATTACATTACGGACTACAAGGCCGCATTAAACTATTCTAGAAGCCGTACTTTGCGCGTCTCTTGCGTACAGTGTGCAAATAAAGGGTAACATAAGACACGCGAACCACGTGAGCCTCGACTCCACCACTCCCTGCCCCTCTCTCTTGCAACTTTTGCAATTAAACCTTGCATTTTACAGCGAGTGCGAGAGACGAAATGATTTTTCTACCGTTCGAAAGTTTCAGCCGTCAAACGGTATCGTTGACGAGTATCGAGCCAGAGATTTATTTCCTCGATGATGACGATAATGGTAATAAAAGTTAGTCAAATTAATTGATAAATCAAATTAGAATGAAGTAATTAACAGGTCAAATTGAAGTATTATTTGTGTATGCTCGTGTGTATATATGTAGGTAAATGTGTATATATATTAGAAAAGTAGAAGCAAGAAAAACGTGAGAACGTCCAAAAATAGATGAACGAACACGTATGTGTGCATACGTATGTATAAGCCGTGAACAATAAGAAAATAATTGCAAAAACTGAACTGTAAACCAAATCGTATCTCATGGAAGGAAATAAAATAAATATCCAAGTTAAAATTAAAATTCCAAGGATACTAGAATTCTCTAGATCGTAACATTTATGTTACGTTATATATACGAAAGTAACACGTAGCTGGATGTAATTTCTTATATTACGCGTAAATTTCTTTTCCATGATAAAATTCCACGTAAATTTATAGAATTGTTTTGAAAAAACTAAAATTAGTAATATGTCTGAAAAAGATATATTTTGGTAAAATATTTATACATAATTTATTTATATTATTACTGATTGGATCTTAGTTTATTTCAAAACAATTAATTTGCAATTAATAGACCTAATCACACTATCCCATTAGAAATAATGTATATTATTATATTTTAATTTAAAAAATTAACTCTTTTATCAGACATCTAATGAAATCATAACCTAGTATCGTTTTATATATAGTGAAATAACGCAATAAAAAAAGTCATCTTTTTCTTCACATGGTTCCCCAAAATTCAAAGAGCCCTTAAAAAGTTGTCAAGTAATTCCATACAAATTTATAGACA